TGCGCAGATCTTTAGGTTGGAATGGTCTAGGATCGGTGTTGCTTATCTACTCAGATGAATATGATTTTGCCATAAACCATAAAAATGCTTTATTATTTTGTTATTTACTCCCTTCTAATTACGTCCAATTACTTTTTTAAATTCAAATTGTGTCCCTCTATACACCCAAACGAAAGGTTAAATACTGGATTTATGTAGACAATCACAATTAATTTCCATAAGAGCGCATGGAGGAGTTTTGTGTCAACTAATTCAAATGAAGAGCGACATCAAGGATTTAAGATCCGTTCGTCTAATATTTAATGGATATCAAACCGATTGCCGATGTCTTATAATTTATTTGCAAAAAGTTGACAGTATAAAAAATAAAACCGTTTGCATCCCTTATGTCGTGTTCCTTATCTCTACTTCGAACAAAATGAATGGGTCAATGAAAGTTAATATTGTAACGAGAGCATTTTTGGCGTTATTTTTTTTGCGATTTTTGCTTTGAATTATGCGGAAGAAAAATTTCCAAGTTTAAAAATGGTCAAGGTCTCAGGAACATTCAACCAAATAAATATTACTTATGTTAAGCTCAAGTTTTTATTTTGTCGATTGTAATACGGCGAGCTTTTACTGAAGATTTTATTTTGTAAATTTTTCAGGGTTATTTAGATGAATATCGAAAAATGACGAGTAAAAGTGACACAAATAAGTTACCACAAGGGCATTAACAATTACAAAACACTATAGACAAGAGTAAAAGTTAGATTGTTTCCCATTATTTACGGCAATTTTGTTAGTTAGTGGGTATAAAAAAGGAACAGTGGCGGCGGTGATACAAAACATTTTCATGCAAGTTTAAGATATTTTGAGATTTTGCAAAGCTATTGAAGACAAGATGCCTAGCAAGATGCCGATATCAGAAACCAGCCCTACTCAAGAAGGAATGCATCGAATTACCAGCATGATCGAGATACTAATCCAAGTTCAAGAGACCGCTAGAAGAGAACATCGAGGTCAGAACAAAATGGAGAAGAGGCAGAAGGACGTACAGGAAAGCAACATAAAGTGGAAGGCGCTTCACAAGCAGGCCAAGACAAAATGGAGAGAAAAATTGAAGAAATCCAGGAGACTCGAGGATTTAGAACTATGAATAGAGAAAAACAGGCAAGAAACTTAGTATCAAACTAGAATGCTGTCACCAGATCTGAGGCAAGAGATAAAAGATGATGAGAAAAGATTTGAAGAGCGAGTCCAAATGGATTTGGGAATAAAACTTCCAGAAGCCAATGTTAAAATACCAGCCGTAGAAATAGAATGTAACCGACGAAAAGAAGAAGTTCATAATTGTGGAAGCGAAACTAAACAGAAGCAAAGTTGATGAAATAAAGGAAGGTGTTAAGAGAAATGAAAAGATACTGGACCAACATGACAACGATATTGGAGAAGTAATAACCCAGTGGGAGGAAACCAACCATGGAAACCCCATATCTATTATCTACAAGGCTGGCCATTTGCTGGACCAAAAACCCAAAAAATTCGATGGCTAACATTTAGGACATTCATCACATCAGTTTTGTGGAAATCCTGGAGGAGGGGAGTAAAAGAGGTCAAAAGGGCATTTTAAAAATTTTTATGATACAGTTTTCTGGTTGCAATTTCCCGTTTAATAAAAAACAAAAGAAATTATATCTTATTATATCTTTGTGTAATGAATTTTCCAATGCTATCTTAAATTACATACTGTACTTGAGACTGTAGAAATAAAAACCACTTTCTAATTGACGAACAAAAATTGTTTGCATCCCCCACTTCGATTACATAAACAATCTAAAGTAAAATGAAATAATAATCCTAATGGGAGGACAAGTACTGTAAAACTTTTTAAACGGAGGCCAACTTCCCTCCTGTTCGAACCTATACAAGGTCATTCTTGACGAGGGTCAGTTAGAAAGATATGGAAAACCTTAGAAAATGAAGATAAACTGATAAGTTCTTTAAGGGTTTTGGTACATGATGAATTGAACTAAAATATTTTCAAGATGGCGCCACTTCCGGAAATACCGGAAGTAGCCATCAACTTTGTTATTTTAAATAGAGACCCCCTATTTTTTCTACATTTTCGGATTCTACGTCAAATTTGGAGTACAACGATACCCCATAGTTGACCCTTTGCTCCAAGGGCTTCGTCGATATTCAAGTTTTTATGTCAAAAATTGAATTTGCAGGGGTAATTTTAAAAATTTATTATTCGAAAACGGTGAGAGATATTGCAACACAGTTTTCACTGATTTATTAAAGAAAGATCAAATTTTCTTATGGTAATGTTTAAACATTATCATAATAAAAACAAAAGAATTACATCAAGCGAATTAATTTTTTTATTAATTTGCTACAAGAAGTAACTAAAACATGGAATATCTCGGAAACCGTTTGAAGCAGCTTATGACATTTTGTATCAAATTAAAGGTCTAGGAAAAAGGAAAACAAGGGTGAAGAACAAAATGGGGGTTGCCATTTGAAAAAATGGAGTTATGGATATTTAAATATTTAAAAGTTGAGAGCTTTGAAAAAGTGGCGTAGTCTCACTTTCTTAGAGTGTTACGCATACCATAAGAAAATTCGATCTTTCTTTAATAAATCAGTGAAAACTGTGTTGCAATATCTCTCACCGTTTTCGAATAATAAATTTTACCCCTGCAAATTCAATTTTTCACATAAAAACTTGAATATCGGCGAAGCGCTTGGAGCAAAGGGTCAACTATGGGGTATCGTTGTACTCCAAATTTGACGTAGAATCCGAAAATGTAGAAAAAATAGGGGGTCCCTATTTAAAATAACAAAGTTGATGGCTACTTCCTGTATTTCCGGAAGTGGCGCCATCTTGAAAATATTTTAGTTCAATTCATCATGTGCCAAAACCTTAAAGGACTTATCAGTTTAGTTTCATTTTCAAAGGTTTTCTAACTGACGCTCGTCAAGAATGACCCTGTATAGGCCGGTAGTTGCGGGTGTTATTGCAAAACCCAAACAAAAGGAAAATGTTTGCCAGAATGTATAATCAACCGAAAATAAATTTACATTTTAACGCTAAATCCGTTCGGTTAATAGCTCTTCGTAACTTTGTATGATTCGACTATCGTTCTGCAAGGAATAGTTACAGTCGTGTTTTTTAGAAATATATTGCAGTTTCAATTTTATTCATTGGACATAAAGGGAGGAAACAAATTTCGCGCGTAAAATATATGTGCAAACCATATACAGCGAGATTAAAGTAAAACTGTTATAAATAGTTCCGCCGAGAGTGATTACAAATAAATGTGCATGTTTGAAAAAAGTTCATCCTCATTCCTCACACACGTGCACGCTAGGATTTAGTAATGTAATTTGCATTTTATATGAGGGCATTAAATATTATATATTCCACATCGATTACATGCTTGGTCACGTCCTTCGGGTTTCAAGTTTTGGGGAAATTTGATCCGTGTTCTTAAATACTCAGAAGTCAATTATAACAAAGCTTAAACGTTATTAGTTCTAATTTTAAACTGAATATTAAATTTATGAGCCCCAAGTCGTTTTCGTTATTTAAAAAGTTTTGTTTAACTTTTAATGCCTTCCATCCTTAAAATTACGTTCTGTAGCATTCAATTATTTGCACGTTTTACTAATTGATTTCTACTACTAATGTGCCGACGGAAACTGTAATTCGCTAACTATTGTTAAAATTCTGAAAGTTTCTTTTGATATCAGTTTAATTAAAGTGGAATTTAATTAAGGTTAAAGCTTTACTCTGAAATTTTATTCCTTTTATAATTATGCTTTTATGAAATACTTTCGGTAGACTACGAGTTAAACATTGTCCATCTGTTGCAAAATGAGGGTTTGTACGGGTGTTGTTTTATGGCACCACTTTTTTTTTAGTAACCGACCCTGTGGAGCTTCTCGATACATATATAAAACGAATTCCGTGTGCAGACAATGCATATTTATGTATTGGGATTACATGCCGTGCAGTGGGCGAAATTAGCACGTAAAATTCGCACCGTTTTGTTTATTTTGCATCTTTCGTTATTCCTGCGACTGTCGTGGAGGTAATTACCCGCTCAGCTTTCTTTAAGCCTTGAAAGGGATGTTGTGTTTATTTGTTGTATCATAAAAATCAATTGCATCGTTACTTCCGCGATAAAATAGCATGCAAAGGTTGGGTAACTGAACTCTTGGGAAATTTTCTGTTTTGCTGTATACAGACATAAAAATCACGAGAGAGTTAACGTGTTTACATCTACAACTTGGATTTGCGCGTATTCACTGTACCAAAAATAGTAGAAAATGAGTATAATTCTCCTGAAACAAATTGTGTTGAAATTGCGTATCATATTTTTTAGGACAATGAGAAAATCACAATAGATGTGCCTACTATAGAGTTTAGTTTCTCCTTTGCTGTTTCAATAATGACACCAAATCCCGCACACACTGTTGATTTTAAGAATAATCAAGTAACAAACTTTTCTGTACTATTATAGTATCACGATTCACGTTATATCGGCTGTGCATACTACAATATTATTTAGATATTATTAGCTATCAGTTACAATTCCGAAAATTTAGAATCCCCAAAAGGGAGCCCGCAGGGGAGGGCACGAAGGTGCGTTTCTCAAATATCAAGCATTTAAATATGGAAACTTCCCAAAATCTCAACACCTTGATTTTGAATTGTAGGATCTAGCAACAATGCTTCATTTGATATTGGATGCACATTTGAATTTTCAAATTCACTCATGAATCCATCAATCGCAACGTCAGATTTTCTTGTTATATCAAACTCGAATCACAATTTAAATTTTATGTCAAAAAGCATGTAATGCTAAACCACAAAAAATCTACTTACTTCAAATGTTGGTTTTCTTAAATTTTAAAGTAAATTACCTTGTAAGGTCCCTGACTCCCCTCTAACTTTTATTCACTCGGCGCAACAACCAGTCTTCAGTCTTCATTGCAATCTTTTGGTGCGCTCGGTGTAGACGTAAATATTTTCGATAGAGATTTGAGAACAATGGGAAAAGTTTCAATAAAAATATTAAAAGGAGTAAAAATGATTTATTAGAGCGCTCAAGTAAGTAAAATTGCTATATTATTTATTGTTCTCTTAGGTAACTACCAGAAAAAGTGTCGTATTTTACAGTATCGATTTGCCACAGGATTCATCATTTTCTATTATTTAGTACTTTCAAATGAAGTCTAATACATAGAATATGCAATTATGCATGTTACTTTTTTAGTACAGTTAGCATATGAATGCTGTATTAAAATTTATTCGTTCCGATGCCAAGATTTTGAGCGGATTTCTTTTTTACATGAAATAATAGTCGGCCATCGCGACTTATCAATCGGAATTTTTTGGAACTATTATTGTGTGAATATTTACGCTAGGGGTTCAAGGTTGGCCTATTATCTTATATTTTCGGCTTTATTGCAGGCGCGCCCGACAGCTAGCTTCTCAGATGAGGAATCGATGACGGACTCGGACTCAATTTGGTGGCACCCACTTCTGCAGTTTAGGGTGAATCGCTAATGAGGGCGCGCAAAATATGCTAAGCAACCAATCATCAGCTAATAAAGGTACCTGAGGGTCACTCTGAGGTAGCTGCTCTTTTTTCTGATAAAGAATTTCGTAATACCACTATTCTTATCCTTGCATTTTTAACCTCCCAACGCATCAGCCACCGGAAATTAATCCAGTCATGTGTGGGCGCAAATGCATTGAAACAGGATAATTTTGTAGGCAAATTACAATTCTAGTTAGCGGCATTATAAGCGGAGTATCGATTCCGCTTGATGAGCAAATAACCAAACGGTTCGCAGCTGAAGAGACACGGAAAGAATTGGAAAAGAAGTCTGATCCAGCAAAAGATATTCTCGAATGTCTTCCACGCCCTATCCTTAGATCGGTGTCATAGAATTCTTTTTTGGACAGCGAGGGAAAGAAAATTTTAGATGATTGTCCGATAATTTGGAAAGTATTTTCCGGATCAGTTAAAAAGTTCAAAGGTGGCAGAACGTTTAGGGTTCACCATTAAAAAGAAGGATAAAGTTCCACAATACCTCGAAATTGGTTAAAACCAATCAACCCAAAGTCGGTCCTTCAGGTTTATCAACATATTTAAACTTTTGGCGCTCCCAGCACCGGACTCGTGTGAAAAAGGAGGATGGGAGGCTTTCCATCGTTAAATCTTGTATGAAGATGCTCACAAAAGATCATTGCTAAAAAAAACCAAGCAATAGTAATGGTTCCTTGCTGGAATACCCAGCCATGGTACTCTATCTTTCATGAACTTTTTGTCACAGTTTTTACACCGAATCAAAGTTTAGTTTCTTCTCATTTCAGATCTTCTCATCCGCTTTGGAGAGGCCTTTCCCTGGAGGTTGGAATTTTATCAGGGAGGCTTTTCACAGACGAGGGGACCCAGCAATAGGACTTCAGGCTATAAGGTATTCAATCGGTACATCTACTTTAAAACAGTATACTACCTACTTAAGAACACAATGGGATTTTTGCGACAGAAGGAATATCACCGTTTCCAATATTCATTAAATCTAGTTTTGGTCTTTTTAGGCAGAAAATTTCTTATTCGACGATTAAATAAAACCTTTTAAAAACAGACAAATTCAACTAGATATTTCTTACGTGTAACACCTTATCTCAACTGAAAAGACAAAAAGAAAAACAAACATTGAAATACAAATTCAAGTAAAATGAACCAACTTTGTGGTTATTCGTAGCTATAACCACCAGGTTTATGCTTAAACATTAAAATTATACCACACCCAGGGTGGTCCAGCATTATTGATGGTGCTGACACCAAAATAAGTAGTTTACGCAACAATATTTATACTGTAAATTTAGTTCGGAATACGTCCAAGAATTGAGTGTCATGTTATTTCGGTGACCAGGAGGACATCAACTTCGGTATATGCGCACCAATTTAATTCAAAAACAGTCTCGATGCTATAGAGGTTTTGATACCAATCTGAACAGGATATGAGACAGAATATGCTGAAAACGAAGTTAGGAGAAGCAACATACTATGGGTATGTTCTTTCCTGTAAAAAAAGTTAAAATCGTAGATTGCTAATTGGAAACAATTATAACAGTAGCTATGATAAGACTTCAGTTTGTACTTTCCTTTATATTAATTTAATTTGAATTTTTTCCTAGATTTTTTGTTCCTTTGTTCGTGATATCGTGATAGTTGAGAGTACGAGATAACTTTGCAACGGCTTATGGGATTTCAAAGCTAAGTTTCAAACGTCCACCACCAAAAAGCCACGATTAACGCCTTTCTCTACTACTATGCGATCAAAAATGAGTTGCTGTCGAGTTACCTTTGGAATTTTTGTTTGCATGGGAAATTGTATTTAACTTGAACTCCAAAGGCGACTCGACAGCAATCCATTTTTGATCACCCGTTATTTAAAACAATTTCCCATTCTTAGTTCCGTTCCTCTTTCTCTAGCAAAATACCGCCTGTTCGAAAGAATTAACGTTTGCTTACTCGGCGATAAAACGTGAAACGTGAAATCAAATAACTAACGCAGCTATAAAGAGACTACTTATCTGGGGTGATCTAGAGGGTGATACACTTTTATAAATTTATGCGAACAATTGAATGTCTTAGTTATTTTAGGTGCTGAAGCCAAATAAACTGCACAACAATATGTTATAATTTCGTTGAAAATAGTCCATACTTTCGTAACTAGTTTATGTGTAACAATATGTATCTGAAACCGTCAAGAAAATCTAAATTTCAGGGCTATTTTGACATTAGAAAGTTGATCTTTACCTGACTAGTACTGTAATATTTTTGCCTGACACCCATTACAGTCCTAGTACATGCAAAATAACAATTAGATCGTTCATTGAATAAGTTATTCAATCAACGATTGGATAATTATAATGCAGACTATGTGGATATTTTTAAATATGAATATACCTACACAAAGGATAATGGTTTTTTAATTACTAACAATTAATGATATATGTGTGGAAGTAATTATTCCTTTCGTTTTGCGCCAGTCATTAAAAGGTTTGTACGCCTTTTCGTGCCTCTTTCTTGACTTTGTGGGGAGCGAATATTGCACTACGGCGGCCGCAGCTTCGGCTACATTATAACAACGTCACGCGTAGGTACTCTTCGTCACTGATACCTGCTTTTGTACCTAGTTATAAAGACTGTATAGTTGAAAAGTACAAAGCATAAACTGCATTAAAAATGACACTGATTGTTTTTATTATTTTAAAATCTCTAAGGAAACAATTAAATAAACTGATTTTAGCATGCGTGATTTGATTAGATATCAAAATTTCACACATATGAATAATTTAATTTGGAAAAGTTATGTACATGTAGCGGTTTCAAGTAAAATTTTATACATAATATGTCATGAAAGTGAGTCCACCTGACTTATAGGCATTAAAGAGATACTCGGACGCTGCGCGTCCTCGTACTTTTCAATAAACCTGACTTACTATGTAAATAACAATTACTAGTGACGAATAACTTGTGTATTACAAAATATAGTCAAAGTATCGGCATATACAGACTCCAGGAGAATTACATGCCCGCCAGTAATCTACTCCAAGTCCTAGCAAAAAAAAACTATTTACCATTCTAATACTATTTTTTTCTTGTAGTATCACATCACATTGTGAAATCATGACTGATACGTATACCTACCTGCACACAATAGAACTGCTTATGCAATCTTATTGGTCACAATCTAGTAACTTACAACCTACTTTCCGTCCCTAGTTGCATCGTTATGATATCCGGTGCATGGAAAGAAAATTGCTTTCCTCCTAAAAATGCTTTCCAATCAGCTTTCGAATTCTATCAATTTTAGAATAAAATTACAAGGCTACAGATATTGAATGTACCAGCTGCAGTGTGGCGAAACTTAGAAGTTTAACATTTAAGATGCTCCCGCGATATACACTGTAACGACATTAAATTTCCAGCAGTATAATTTTTTAGCTTATGTCTCGTTAACTGTTGTAATTTAAAATTCAATCAAGAGTCACTATAGATTACAAGAGATGGTTGTTTATGGCGATCAATCCCCATAATTTCTAATGTAAAGCTCACTCTTTGTGTTGATAAATATTAAATTCAAATTAAAAGGGTAATAGAAGCAAGTTTTAAAATAAACCATCTCGCAGTTAAACACTTTTCGCTCCTCTAAAACGCGCATTTTCCATTAAACGTTAATCTATAATTAAAAGGCTTTTTGGTATCTGGTACATCATCTAAATGCACGTGGTATATATCGCAATAAATAGTTATTGACAGGATGTGTATTAATAACGTTCTGTTTTACATAAATCATAGCCAATGCCTATTGACTAAACTGGAACATCCTGCGGCAATAATAAATAGTTGTCAATAAATTTACGTCAAGGATTTAGCAAAATGCTGAAAAATTCATTACACTTATGAACGTTTGTGAACTTGCGAAGTGTACTACTCATTTTCTTTCTGTTACGATTGCTCTTTGAGGTGGACCACCTGGTATTTTTGTTTTACTTTTTGTAAAACTTCAGGTCGTTTTTTAGTGATGCACTTCCATTCAAAATCGCCAAACTTACGTTGGTTTTCGTTTTTTTGTTTACATGGAAAATCGTACTTAAGTTGAACTTCCAAAGGCGACTAGGCAGCTCATTTTTAATCGGGGATTTCACGAGATTAAATTGATATGGGACATATGACTCAATTAGGGGCGAACCCTGGTAGTAATGCGTGTTACTATATTCTACACCATGGTGTCTTCAAATCTGGAGCAGAACACCCAAACATTCATCTAGTTTTCGATGCCCCCCGTCACTGAATGCAACCCAAAATAAGGTAAGTACGAGGATTGTTCAATTGAAACCAATCTTTGGTCAGGTTAGCCTTGGAAACCGCCCTACTGACGTTTTGCAATACCAGTTGTGTTTGTAAACGTCAATTCCTATCATGGATGCAATGGAAAATTGTCCGCCACCAAAGAAGTATAAGGTTTGACTTTCTGCAGACAAGTTCACTGGTTTTCGATCCTAAAGGGCCCTTGTTTCCCCGAGATTGTAGAAGCTGTGTCAAACATGATGGTCAATGCCATCCAGGGCCCAGGGGTTACATGGCGTTATGCGGACCCCGAGCTACGAGCATTAAATTAATAAAAACTGTTAGAGGGCTCCTTAATTCATCGTTTTCAAAAAAAAAATGCGGAAGAAGCCCTAAATTTTCCACAATCTTAATAAAAAGATCAGTTACTTTCATCGAAATGTGAGGTTATGATACTTCATACCATGATTATTTTTATGTTGGTAAGAGTTTACGTATATTTCCTCAGTGCTTTATTTCAATTTCGTGAAGTTATGTTAAGCTACGGATTGTTAATACAGTTTGCTAGTGAAAAGTCGGCGAAATTTTTAGGATAATAATAAGGGTTCCGTTTCTCATAAGTTTCCATTTCTGAAGGAATAACGGTTTCGGTCCGGTCCGGTTTGAAGACATCAAAAATCCTTTGATTTCGCCCCAGGGTCTCCTACCCTCTGTAACGAATGCTTACAAATAAAAGGGTGGTTCGGTAGTTCTTCTGGTAATCTCTTCGTCTTGTTTTATTGCAGTACCTCTGGAACTTACCTTTTCGATACGTTTGCGTCCAGCTAGCCTGGGTAAAACATGGTATAAAATAAGGGAAGAATGCAGTTCATTCCGCTTTCACTACCTATCTCATTAATTTTCAAGTTGCAATCAAAATTTAGAACCATATACTGATCTAAAAATTTATACCCTAAAATGTTTTGGCCTGTATTTTACCAAACTCTTTGACTCTTCCTTGTAGAATACAAATAATTTCAATAAGGATATAACAATTTAAGTATATTATTATTATTAAATATTAAAACAATCCAACTAACCCTAACCTAAACCCTAAACCTAATTAAAGTAAAGATACAACTACTGATCAAAAATAATTTAACCTAATAAACAGATTATCTATTCTTAAATTTTAAAATATTCAAATTTAAACCTAATAAATCAATCAAAATGTACCTCTTTAATTACTGAAATTGAAGCAAGTCCCTGCTTGTCAGGCCGATGGAAATTTTCAACGCTTCGTATCTAATATCTCCAGATCTGCTTCCGGGAAGATTCTGCGTAGCGATTTAGGATCCCGGGATATCTGCACTCGATCTTGACTGGACAGATACTTTGTAGAAATCCTCCAAAAATTTAATACTTTTCGATGAAAAATGGCTGATTAAGACAAGCGCATGCTGGTTAACGAAAAAGCGCTGGCGGGTGGAAACAAAACGCCACCTTTTTTCAGAGATTCCCAAAAGGGGATGCTGAATATTTTTGTCAAAGTAGTTGATAGAATTCTTCTTACGCAAGTTTTGTTAATTCTCACCAAAAGGCAAGTTTTTCACTTCTTTACGTAAATGCGCCTTTTTAATTTACATATCTCTTGCTATTAAAGACCAACAGTTATTAAAATTTACAAATTAGTATGGCTAATTTTTGTTGAAGTTACACGGATAAATTCCATTTCTTTCCATACTTAAATTTTTAATAACCCGCGAATGGACAAGTGGGTTCCTAGTACAATCATTT